TGAAAATTTAATTAATATGAATTAATAACGCAAGAGAACGCTCTATTCATTAAAGAGATTAATTATAGAGATTATACTCTTCGATAAATTTTAGACCATCTCCCCCTTTCTCTCTGTCTCTCTTATTCCTACAATTAAATATATAATCTAAATTAAATGTACGTGTGCAACAATCTTTGAATATTATGAAATGCTTATATGTAAATGAAGATAAAATAATTTATTAAGTAAATAATATAAGTTTTAACCAACTAGTTGTTTACAGTGACTTACTAACTATTGTAGTTAATGAAGCTATACCGTTGAAAAAACTTTTTTTTTTTATATAATAGGAATATTTGAAATGCTCTTTTTAATAAAAGATATATTCGTATTTATAAAAACTTATCCGTTAGATATTTCGGAAAATGAAACTTGGATGGAGCTAAAGTTACAGTTTAGCAACAATTTATTGGTAGGGGGAAATATCGAAACGAATTTAGCAAGATATAACTACGTCTTGAAATCCTAGTCACGCGAGAATTAACTTTATGTACATTATTATGTGCATCCGACGCGACGTCGGATCGTACGTACGTTCGATCGTACCATTTTCCTCTGCTGGCAGCTTCAATGTGTCTCCGCCCTTTTAGCGTAGAGCACGAGAATGAAAAGAAACTTTTCCACTTTTCCAACGACTCGTTCAAATCAGAAGTAGCAATTTTTGCGAATGTGAAAATTCGCCGGAAGCGGAAAATCGAGAGAACTAGACTAGGCGACGAGATTGACCGAAGTTATGAGACGAAAACAGATAAGAAGATAGAGGATATACGCCAAGATGAGAGAGAAGAGAAAATTTACCGAGTAAATAATTATTTTGGCAAATAGAACAAAATTCTCTTCACTTTTCCCCGTCTCTCTCTCAACATGGAATTAATCTATTCTCTATTGAAACTTGAATATATCTTTCTGCGATTTCAAAAATTTTAATATATCTTAAATTTTTTTAAATATTGGAAATTTATCTAAAAAATGGCTGAAAAAGTATAATTTTATTATTCACTTATATTTCTGTATATTTCTTGCAATTAAATTTTTTTTTTTTCCAAATAAAAACGCAATAAAGAAACACGGATTTCGTCGATGAATAATAATTTATATTTATATCATGTTTATTCATTAATTTATTAATTGATTTAACGTTTTATTCTTGTGACAAAATTTTTATCAGGTATATATGAAAACTGATTGTAATCTTCTTATAAATTTTTTTCAAGTATATTAATAATTTTTAATAATGTGCAATAAAATTTGTTGATAAAACTTTACTTAATTATTTAAAAAAAAAAATAAAAAAATAGCTTTTAAATAATTTTCTACATAACGATGTGTCTTCTAATTTTGAATACAATAATGCTTTAAGGCAATTTTCCAAATTTGAGTATTAATATGAAATATAAAAAAAAAACTGTTAATTGTAAGAATTGAAATTCTTGACAATCGAATAATGTATAAAGATAATTTTGAAAAATCGAAGAAGGAAGAAAAGAGATTTCTAGTGTATAGTGCGTTTGTTTCTGCCGGAAGGAATAAACGACGAGGAGCACACGCGTGTGTCTTTGTTGCTGCAACAACAAACAGACAAACAAACAAACAAACAGGCAAACAAAGGGGTAAACGCGTGGAGAAATCCTTTAGGATTTCAGTTCGAATTTTCAGTTAGGATTTTCGTCGAAAATCGCGCTTGGTGCACGCAAGTCGGGGAACGGCTTGCCGCGTATGCTGTTTTTACTTTGATGGCTTGTTGAACGGAGAGCAATCGCGTCGAAACTATATACCTACCGTCCGAGCAATCACGCTCGTACCACCATTTGTGCCGTTGCCTTGTTGGAACCCATACACGCACAAAGCGCATGGATAATTAGACTGGGCCCTCGCCAGAACATCCCGCTGACGTTCTCCATTTCCCCGCAGTAGGATGTTGGACAAAGTTTTACTCGCTAGAGATTACGTCTCGCGTCTCTCGCGACTTGCTTTTTCGCAATTTTCCTCCGTTTCGTCCTCGTCGTCTCTCGCTCGCTTTATATATGTCGTAAATCTTTGTCGATGTTATACATACCCCACATGTACGTATAGTATACATATATTTTAAAAAATGTGTTTGTGTGTGGCTCGTTTGAAAATTTGAAAAATAATTCTGCAATTCTGTGCTTTCGTTTGTCATATTTGATAATTGGCCGCTAAAAGAATTGGAATCGCAAAATACACATCGCAAATTGTGCGCGAGTAAGTTGCAAACGTGGAAACGAACACGCAAATCAATGTATTTAGTACCAGAGGATAGGAACATGTTGCGAGATTATTTAGTAAATAATGATTTGACTGAGTTTGGTGGTTATATTCTGATGTTTATCAATGTCCCTATGTGTTTACAAATAATTATCTACCCGCTAAAGTTGGATATGTTTACTATATGTCCGAGTATTTCGTAAATTATGTTGTCATGAATGTAAAATAATAATAATAGTAATTAAACAATTAAAATAATTGTGAAGGGAAATAAGCCATGGCGGAATAATTCGATGAAAACGAAATGTTTGCGCTTTTTATCTTTCTATATCTCTCTTTGTGAGTGGAAAGAGAGAGAGAAATGTAATGTATCTAGTGTATTTAGACATTATTTACATAATACACCTAGATCCGTTTATTTGCTCTCGGCTAGCATATATAATATCCTGAAAGTTTTCAAGATACAATTAAATATAATATTACAATTAGCAGTGAAAATATTAAACATTGCTATTCTCCGTATTTCTCGAAATGAAAAGACATAATTTGTCCATTAAATCCGAGTGGTTCGTTTATCAATTCTGAGATTTGTATAAACCACAAATTGGTGCAATTTCGTTCTCATTACTTTTGTCGCGCGATGGATTTAATAATCTCGAGTTCCGAAATTAGAGTTATAATCACAGGATTGTTCCTCTGCGGATTTTAAATCCACAATTCGCTAACGCTTGTGTACAGACGCGATGTAGAAAATTACATCTCTTTCGCTTTGCTCGCATCGAGAGAGCATCCGGCGATCGAGCAGAGAGAGCATTCCCGTTGTTTGTAAACGCGCAACGGAGTTTGCGTTTCGTCTAATGTAAGAGAAAGTCTCATTTTCGGTGTACATGCACTGCACACTCGTGGAATCGAAAAGTGACTGCTGCTGCAACGAGACGAGACGAGACGAGACGAGACGCGACGCGACGCTGCAGGGAAGTGACTCTCTCGATCTGCGACTCGTCTCTCGTATCTCGCGAAAGTAGGGCGAGCCACGCCTAGCACAAGGCATGCTCTCTTGCTCTTGCAAACATCACGGCAAGCACGACGAATCCGCGGAGAGGAACATTCTTCTTTTTCATTTCCGTTTTAACGTGATTCACGATCTGATTTTATTAGATCGCTCGAGCGCGCGCAGCTTTGTTTGCTGCTCGCAGAGCGATCATGAATCTGTCATATGCCAAATGTCAAGAAATAATGCGGCGTATTGTCGTATTGAAACGCGATATAATTCGCGATTGTATCGCGAATCGATTAGTCGAGATTAATCAATATTTTAATAACGTTATATGTGCGCGACTATCAGTTCTGATCAATGTTCTCGCGGCGATCAGGATTATTGTGCCGCTTACAAACCCGCATATAAGTTAATCGATGCTTAACTGACGCAGCAGGGTTATTAGAATTATACTTTGTCTACTTTGATGGTCAATTTCTCGGGGAAAAAATGTCGGAATGTCAATTTTTATTTATCAAATTAATATTTATGGAATCTTTTCTTAAATATCTGTAACGTATTTCAAATGATTGCGTGAGAAAATCAATTCCTATTATTAAATTATATAATTCTTTCATAATTTTCTAATCTTGGAAATAGCGCATCAAATATGCATGAGATATAATTGTGCGCCCACGTGATTCAAATATCGATTTTTCACATTTTATATTTAGAAACTAATGCAATAACTTTTAATTTCGTTAGGGAAATCATGTAATTTGTTACTTTATTTGCTTTATCAATTTTGTTCAACGAATAACATATGTAAAACCAAATATTAAATTTCCGATCTCTCTCGGATTACAATTACTTGGAAAAAAAAAAAAAAAAGATTTTAAACATATCTTGATAAAAGAATATATTTCGAGTTATTTAATTTCCAATCCAATATTATGAAACTTTGGCTGCATGTTTTATAAACATCTTATATATACGTGAATATACGTTTTCGATACTCCAAGTTTAATCTTGAACGTATTCGAGGTAGTAAGACAGCTCCAAGACAAATAGAAACTCGAGCTGGCGACCTCTCTGCATAATGCATAACATCGTCTTCTTCATCGTCGTCGTTGCAGTCGCGGTGGTCGCCTACCGTTCCTTCGTTAGCCTTTTATCCTTCCCCGTGCTTTTCCTTACTTATTCCAAGTAGTAGTTTTCTTCTACAAGAAGATATGCATATACAAGTTTTGCGCGCGCGCACCCAGAAAAAAGGGGACAAAAGATCTGTTCTCCTCTCTGTTCTTCTTCCTTCGCTGTTCCGTAAAGAATACATGCGTTCAATTTGGAGTACCGGTATACACTATACATCGTGCATATACGCTAGTGAACTCGATTTTCTCAAAATAATATATTTTCTTGGCTTCTACGGTGCATTTGTATGATAATATTATAATATAATGTTACTAAACAGTAATTAGGCAACAAAAATATGTCAAAAGAACATATATATATATATATAGATAAAAAAGAAGTTAAAATACCTCAATTTATTTGGAAAAATATGTTTGGAGAAAGTTAATCCATTATAACGGTTTTTAAGCATGTGACCGTGCGAAATTATATTAACTCACTTATTAATACACAAATACGTATATATGTTTTCATTTTATTGTACGTTATTATACATATGCGCGAACACTCTCTCTCTCTTTTTATGACAATAGAACTATAGAATGCTTATATTATGTGATTACAGGAATGACGATCGGTAGTGGCGATAATGAAGCATGAAAGTTATCGTTGATTTCGTCGGACATCCTGCAGGGCCATTTGTTTCCAGGATGAGTGTGTCGCTGCTTTTGGCTCTAATCAGCTTAGCCGCGCAAAATGTGGCTTGGCCGCAGGACCCCATTCCTAGACTACACATCAAATATCGTGAGTAATATTTAAACAGAAACATTCGTCCGCTACTGTGCTTTAATTAAGCATAGTCGGTTTATATATTCGCATACCGTTTAGAACTGCATCCATTGCTGAGATGTTCAAATAACGTTATTATTCGAAGATGTCCTTTGGTAATACGTGGATTTTTCTGATTGATAAATAATACACACCACAAAGAGCTCACTTTTATATAAATATCTATTTTTTAAAACAGAGTTAAATAATATAATTAAAGAAAATTTTCAAGTGTTACAAAACTATAAAAGTTTGTCTTTACCTTTTTAATAATATAGATTTAAAAAGCAATTTATGTATACAGAAAAAAATTAATTTATCGTATCGCATTTAATTTCTCATTTAAATGTATATTTAAATACTGGCATTTCAATTTTTAATACCTTCTTATACGATAATATTGACCTCAAAAATGATGATTAGGTAATACGTTTTGACAGTTAGTTAGTTGCTATTAGTCTCAATATCTCTACCACAAGATAATCTCCGTTAAACTAGTACTTTAACCACGACAAATTGAATTGGAAACTATCGTGGAATTAAGTGCTATTTAGTTACTAATTTACTGCTCTATCCTCAACTTTAGTACCAAAGCTATTCAACAGAAAGACTCGACGAAAAATAAAAGGAGCCTGCTTTAAGAGAGCTCTGTCTAATGTTTCCAGTATAACAAATTTATATGAAAATTTATATGAAATGAAAGTAGCCGTGCTAGAGAGAATTAAGCATTCTTTTCAAATACTCGAAAAATTGATTTGACATATTTCTCGTACATTTAATATTGTAATTTTTATTTTCTAAATAATATTTATTAATATCATCATCGATTAATATATAGAGAAAATACGAGTAAGGAACTTATATTTAGCTTTAATTATTTTACCATGAGAATTTATTTTATCATGGAAATTCATAAAGAATTTAGTTGAACGTTATTATATTTTCTTTTTGTAAACATTAACATTTAATTTTCGATATTGAATTTATTGATAATTAATCCTTACATTTAGCTACATATCAAGTTTCCAACATTATTACAAAATTATATCAATAGTAATTGATAAACTTTATAATTGTATGCCAAAAACAAAAGTAATACAATATGACTTAATCTTGTTATTTAACATTGCAAATTATATGTTATTTATTATTCGCACACCTTGTGTTTTTTGGGAAATAATTTTACATCAAAATATTTCAGTAAAATGTTTTTAAGAGAATGTATCGTCTCTATTTTAACATTTTCCAATTTTCATGCAAAATTATTACCATTATTAATATCGTATTTGAACGAAATAAGTATGGTGCGAATTCATCGCGCCTTTCGTAAAAGTAATTAGGTAAATTTCAATATTCGCACCTTTGCTGCAAGATTCAATAATGATCCATTACTAAATTTGGCGCGACGCGATGCCACACAATGGCCTTTTGCGAGACGGAATTTAATAAAATGTAGCCACACTTTCACCTCGCTATTTTATAGATTTATCGAGTTAGTAAATTGACAGTACCCAGCCTTTTAGGATATATACATATAGGCGTTCAATTAAAAGTAATCTAATCAATGGAAGCGTCGCGCATAGAGTCGCATTTCATATGCCAACTAATCGCAAATTTATCGCACACTCTATTATTTATGGCAGGTGATCATTTTCCATTCTGTTAAAAACCGCAATATAGCGACTTTACTTTTTTTTTTTTTTTTTTTATACAAGTTTGAATTAAAAGGATTACTTATTAATAAATTCAATATTGAAAATTAAATATATTAATGTATAAAAAGAAGTGATAATATGATGTTTAATTAAATTTATTGTTATTATATATATTAAACTAATTGTAAAACTTGTTTCTTTAACTTTGCGACACGTAATTTTTCCTTAAAAAAAAAAAAAAAAAAAAAAATGATTTTAAATGGAACACAAACATTTCAATTTAATTACACTTTATATTTTCTAAAAATTATGCACACAAGATACATGTGAAATAATCTTGATCTCCCAATTTTGCGACGTTCACGTAAAAGTCCCTGAATTTATTCAAAACGTGAGACTCTCGCGCGAGTCTCTCGAGTGCCTGAAAAAAAATTGGTTAAAGTGAACTCGGGGGGAGAAGTATGGTAGGAGTATATGTGTTATAGGAGGAAGGATAGTGTAGATAAGAACGCTATCCACTCGGTAGCCGTTTATCACGAGCAATCTCTCCGACTGGTTAACCCGCGACTTAATTTTCGTACGTGGAAAAGGATGGAAAAATTGTGTGAAACGCGCGCGTAGGATGGAATATACAACGACGACGGAAAATGGTTGTCGTCTTCTGCGGATCGCACGACGACCCGCGTTATTCTGTCCTTTCGAGAGATCGCATTGTACCCCGGATATGTAGTCGGCGACGATTTTCATATCTGCCTCTGACGGGGGTATTCAACGCGTTGTCACAACGACTGACCCCTCTACCAATTCAAAGGCATTTCCGCGCGATGTGAGCACCCTTTCGACCACACCTGTGGATTTGGTTGTCTCATGGCGCGAACATACCTCAAAACGGATAGACCGATAAAGCTAAACATAGACGCGATGTTATACACAAGCATGAGCACAAAGCTTTTTTTTTTTTTTCGCGCTTTTTTTTGCAAGAAATATTTTCAGTATCTCATTACGCGAGCTGTAGAGTAAATATTATACTTGTTAATTAAATATTTGAAATTTACAATGGATTATTGAAATATTACGCGATTTAAATGACGAAAATTGAAAATGATGAAAATAATTTGTATCTCTTTCCTGAGAAGGATCCGATATATCGCGTGACAGTGTTAAATTTTTAACTTTTGTTTGTTGACTAATGTCTCACGCTATTGACCATGATCACGTTTTGAAGTAAAAACCAAAGATTTACGTTTATTGCGCGCGTGTGTGCACAATACGTTACGATACGCGTTGCTTTATCGTCGTACGAGATAAAACGTTCATAGGCTTGACGGTGTCACTCGTCGAAAATTTATTCCGTATCTAAAATATCGAAAAAAAAAAAATCCATCACATATAGATTGTCGTCGCGCCGTTCTCGGCTAAGTCGCACGCGTCGTAAACAAAGATACAATCGATAATTTCTGGCAAATCGGGGATGACGGCTTTTCGGAAGTTTACTCGACCAGAAGGTAGAGAGAGGATCACACGTTGCGGCGGCGAGACAGCACGACGGGGGTTAACGACCGTTGGAAATCCGCCGCCGTGTTGGTGGTGCGGATTCGCCTCGGAGCTTTTGACGCGGATCAAATATTGGCGTGTGTCCTGTCGATCGGCGCGAGGCGACGCGACGCAGCGCGCCCACGTTACGTCGCGGCCCGCTTTGCTAAATCCTATTGAGTATTCAATTATGGAACGCGGGAAGAGGGTTACATACATACGTACTAGTTGTCCGATCCAGACGAAATTGAACGCTCGCGCGTGATATCGCAAATGCTATATAAGGAGAGTTTCTCAAGGAATTTTTACAGAGAATTGCACGAGCTCTGGGTTTATCAGGGATTGGTTTTCATTATCGAGCGACTGCGATTGTTTTAGTTCGATTTTACATTAAAATAATTACCACTCTTATAAATGCATTCTTGCAGCAGTTTATGTGATGGAAAGAGAACATTTGTATATTAATAATTTGATTAATTGTAATTAAAATGTTTGCGCCGACAACACAGGTAATTTTTTTGATTACGAGTTGTAATATGGTATACAGTCTCTTTGGTAGCGCGTGCGAGTGCGATGCGCTTTGCTTGAAAATATTGAGTTCAAAGATATATGATGTGTTTAACCATTTTACCTTGTCTTCCTATTTTCTCGAGTAAAGCACGATGCACATCACTCGCGTCGCTTTATAAATCAACATCCGGACGTGATGCGTAGCTATGAAAAATATTCATCTAGCGAATATTACGTCTTATATAAATCCGCGCGCGATAATGCATATTTCTCTATACTATCCTCGAGGAAAGAAACCGCTATCATCTAATTATATACGTAGGATCGGAATGTAAGTAGTATCTCGAGGCAGGTTATGTAGATTAATCATTTGCTACGTCGCTACGACGGAAGCCGTACACACTTGACTTGGCTCTCGTCGAGAGTAAGCTCGTTAGGGCTTGAAAGAACTTTATTAAGCTCCGAGACCGCGACAACAACAGCCAACGCCTGCAGTCGAGTATACGTATTTTCTACGTATGTATACGTACATATATACCGTGTGCTGAATTCATGTGCATTAAAAAAGGTCAGTTCGCACCTATTCGAGACGAACAATTGCAATGTCGCTAGCGACCATTCCGATTAATTGAAAAGTTTAAATTATTCTGTTGCCGTGGATATTGCATTTCTGATATATTCGGATTGCAAGTTTAAGTAGCGTAAATGTACTGTAAAAGATAGCTGTATTCGCGATCTACTGATAATAGAAGAGAATAGAAAATATGGTAGAACGATAAAAAATAATGTACTTTATGCCGTTAATTTGCCGATTTAGTTTAAATTCGGCAACCACGAATGTAAATAGATTCTGAAAACGAAAATGGAAAATTTCTGAAATTTTTGTTCAATTGAATTAAATTACCTTTGCTTAATTATGGTTCTCTAATTATTACGGTGATCATTAATGATAATTGATTTAAATTTATTTGTTAAAATATATATATATATATACATACATATATATATTTCTCTTTCTTACACAATTATTTAATTCATCTATAATAAAATATATAGTATATAAAAGTTTATTTTATTATTGTGTGATATTTTACATCGTTTTTGCACAGTTTTCTCTTACAGTATTTTTAACGTTAATATTAAATATCATTTATTCCGGGTTTCTGTTTTGCTCGAGTTTTTTTATTTTGATTAATTTTATAATTGCTTCAGGAAATTTTATACATATTGTTTATTTCAGTCAAATTGTTATGTAAGATATTTTGTTTGACAAATGTT